GCAGTCTACAACAGCCCGACAAGAAAGGCAAGAACGATGATGGCAAAAATTATGATTTATTTACTCTTGGCCACCCAAGCCTTTTATAGCACGGCGCGTGAGTGCATGTCAAACATCAACACTAATCGAAAATCGATGGCGTTCGATCAACTCGTGAATAAGCTCAACTCACGCTCGTTTGATGAAAGATCACTACATTCCTTTGGTGTGTGTGTGTGTGTGTGTGTGTGTGTGTGTGTGGAAAATAAGGCAAAATGGACTATAAAAAAGGTTACTTATGCCAATGTATAAACATGACCATTTTTCAATTTATACGTGTATTTCTTTAATGGCGTTCCCAATAGTAGGCGAACACAGGTTACCCGTTATTTAGAATTTTAAAACACGCTTTTAAGGGGCGTCGGGTGCGAAAGTTAGTGAGATATTTAAGAAAACACTAGGAATTTTTGAAACACAAGTAGTTGTCGGCTGAACAGATGTTCGTGACAAGTATAATCTCAGGTTAGTTTTAACCGAACTATTATCGAAAAAATGGATACTTCACTTGATTTTTTAACTTTAAGGTGTTGCTTAAATTACGGTCTGACAACCGTGTTTAAAACAAACATTTTGTACACTGAATGGTCACCTTAGTGACCTGGTTGCACCATCCGAAAGAGGTTTATTTTATGATGCTTTTGTTATTTTAGTAATCTTGCTAAATCAGGAGTCACTGATATTTTCGTCCTTTTGAATTAATTCAAAGATTTCGGAATTAGACCAATGGGAATGAAGGGACAAAATGACTTATAGAAAGCACTCCTTTAAATATGAATCTGTCTCATTTGAACTCTTTCAAAAGCACTGAATTCATAACAAAATGAATCCGTTGATTTGTGGTTTCTAAAGCTACGATCACGTTTCTGAGAACTCGAGCAAATGGGAATTGAGTACTGTTGTTGGTGAGCGCTGATTAGTGGGTCACCGGGGTATAGACAGGCAAGAAGCCCGTCTAACAGATAGGTTCCATAGCTGCCAACGTTGGGTCATTCTCTACTGAATTTGCTGTGAATCGCGTTGAAAATTCCGCATTACCAATCAGTCCATGGCTAGTCTACCTTCGTGGTTCCACACCTTGTCCATCAAATACTGCCCCCCTTCGTTTCATTAAGCAAAAAATGATATTTTTTAACCAGCAGTCTTGCCACCACTCGTTTAAGCTGAATCTACTGTTTTCCTGTGGACGCTTGTTGTGAGTTGCATTAAAGCACACTCTCTAATCCGACCACTCCAGCCACCGACACAGGGTCCCTCTTTTCTCAGAATGTCGCCAGCCGCACGGACCCTCAACTCCAACCTCATTAGTGCTAACGATTATCTTAGATTATCCTTACACCTAGATCTCGATGTTAGCTCATGTATGACTCACATCTGAGGCATAAATACACACGCGCAAACGCCACACACGACACAACGACACCAGCCTTGTTGAGCTCTGAAGTAAACGGTTGTGTCCACGTCCTCTCCGGTCTTCAAGACCACAGGCTGGGGCCGACAACATGATGGCGTGATGAAAGGTCCTTCGAATTGCACACCAATTTTTTTTGTAAAAACTGTGAGTCTTTAAAGCCCAGACAAAACTGAAGGGAAAGTTTCTGGGAGTTTGAAGTTCAAACTTCCTCGCATTGACAATGAACGCATCAGTGAATATCAGCCAATTTATGAATAATCAAAGCTAGGAAAAAGAGCAAAAATAACATTGCTGGGACTATCTTGGGTCAGGGGACACCCTCGTAAATCCAGGAGGCAGCCGTGATGACGCCGCTTGATTAGGGGACTTCCTATCTGAGCCCTCACATTTAAGCCATCAACTGGTTACCGTAAAAATAACCAACCATTAGTCACTGGTCGAATTTTGGCATAACTAAGATTTCAAGTGCAATATAAGCACCTTGCCATTATATTAATTGTAACCTAATGCCGGTTAAGCAATCATGTAAACACCGCTGCTTTCGCAGAAACAAACGTTCATCTGGCAAAAGAAGCAGTTTGGTTCTTGCGGCAGACTGTGTTACCCAGTCAGAAGCATTAAAAGACGATGGACAAATGTCTGCGTTTGGGATATTAGACAGAAATGAAAAAAAATATGTCTTGGGACAAGTCCGATTGTAGTCAATTCGAAAAATTTGCAAACTTTATTAAGAAACACTGCATGGAAGACTGCAGGTGGACCTCAAAATCCCTCACAATTCCTTTAAAGCATAAACACTGTCTACGAAAAAGAGCCAGCAAGATCGTCCTGTTGAGATCCAGTAATCAGAAAGATCTACGCACAAAAAAGCCTTTTCAAATTTCCGCGATGTCAAAAACCAAGAATACCAGGTTCATGCGTCCTACGGCTTGTACTCGTGAGTTTCTCAGACTGTCCTAGTCATGTTATTGAAAGAACCATCATATGTTCGAATGTCTGACTGGGATTACAAAATAAAACCTTGACCAAAGTTAATCGTTAGATTTCTGCAAGAAATTCGCAGTATAACCAATAACTGTCAAGGGGAAAGGCAAGACGTGGAATGTCAATATTGTTAATGCCATTATCAAAGGCTTGCCATCACCCAGGGCCACATCGGCTCCTCCTTTTTTCCCAGACTGATGGGCCAGAAGGCGGTCCTGAGAGTAGAATTGTCCTAGAACAAACAGTACGTTTAGTGTGATTTTGAAAAACAGCCTCAAATTTGCGCAGTCATGACTCTGGTTTTTGGTCCTACTACCCAAGAAGTAATTGCAATCCAAACACAGTGGACTACGAGTTCTGAGGTGACAGCAGCTCTTCCTAACGCCACAAGTCCCAATAAATTTCCCCCCAGATTTCTTGGAAAAAACAATTTTATGTTCATGGATAATTTTCTGACTTTGTGCTCTAGCTAACCAATCACAAGGGAGACAAACATCTTATCATTGGCAAATTGGCAACAAGTCTTTTTCGCGAGCAGATGGTAATTCCCACATATGCCTGCCTATTTAGCTAACTTCTATCAGTCACAATGACAAACCACGTAGTATTTGTGCAACCAACCGGAATTTCGAAGTTGGGACACGACGCGCTAGGGATGACCATCAACTCACTTTCCTAATCATTGTAGAATGCAGGACTTCTATCTTATGATTGTGATGTTTGGTTTTTTCTCACTAATGTATACCAAAAAGGCTCCAATGCCTCTTCACAGTTCTCCCGGGCTCCCCTCCCACCTTAACCACAACACTTTTTGCATTAACTTTAAATGAAAGAGACAGTAAAGTTACTGGCAAGTTGGTAAGCGGGTTTAATGCATTTCTGGTTTGCAGAAACATTGTGCGAAGATAGTGTGCCTGAGTGCGATTGCGAATAAAGCTAGGGATTGAATGAGTAGGCACTCGTGAAGGAAGAATCGTCCGGATACCTTCTTGTCATTTAGCGATTTTCGAGGCTCGATTTAGCACTCTCTCTTAGCAGTAATACCTGTGCTTGATTATTTTATTGGAGTTGTGGGAGGTGATCGATTCAGGTTCTGCTAGGCTATTTACGACAGTTATCATGACACTCGTATTTGGTACTCTTAAGACGTCGGTAGTAAAACTAACAGTACGATTTCTTCAGCTAGCTGTATAGGGTATTACTGATGTTTGTGGCTCAATGTCGAATGAACTTGTCATTGAAACAGATTATTGTGGGCCCCAGCATGTAGTCTTGAACCACACAGGGGCCACTGCATTAACTCTGGCCCGATTTCGCTTCCCTACTACCGTCAATGAACGTGGACACAGCCGTTTACTTCAGAGCTCAACCCCGTTGGTGTCGTTGTTTCGTGTATATCCTTCACGCTTGTATATTTATACCTCAGGTAAGTGGGTCACAGGTAGGTTAACATCGAGACCTGGATGTGAGCATAATCTGGAATAATCGTTCGTGCGAGTGAGGGGGAGTTGAGGGTCCGCGCGGCTGACGACATGCTGCGACAAGGAGGACCCTGTGTGGGAGGCTGGAGTGATCGAATTAATGAGTGTGAATCAAGGCGATTCACAACAAGATATTAGAAATTACAAGCTAGTTAAACCATATCCTTTATTGAAAATGATTACTTGAGAATAACTGCTATGATGATACAACGTTAAGGCTGCTTCTGTGTAATATCTGATTGGGCCCGTTATTTGGTTGTGCAATTAAAATTCAAATAACCTGCGACATTTTTCTAGTCTTGGGTTGCTATTGTCTTTAGAGCATTCACAGTTAACATATCTTATTTGTTGCTTGAAAATTAGAACAACTTTAAGTGGTTGGAATATCAACACGAAAGTGTCTCAAAATGGTTTGCGAATGCTCTCATGAATCTGGTAATTTTATTTCTGTTACATTATCATGTAGTTACCTTTGCTCTGTGTGAAACACATATGTTAAATATATTGGTACTCCAAACACCATGCTCTTTTGGACGCAATAAGAACCTACATTTCTTGTCGTTTTGGTCTTCTTTAATTGGCGGTTGTGCGCATGCCAATGCCGCGACAACACTACAAATGCAAGGTGTGGCACAGGGCTGGCATCATTCACCTAATAATAGGTTGAAATCAACCGAGTAGTGACAATCCCAAAAGTGATCTTTTCAGACTTCTTAAACAAATAAGACGATGCAGTTTAAGCTTTTTTAGGATTTTTGAAAGTTATTCCTCTTTTTCAAGCCCTATAAGCAGTTCATAAGGATAAAAATATATTTACATCTAAAATCATAAGATAATTTGATAAACCATCACAAACCTGATGTTCTCGACTACTTTAAAAACTGAATGTCTCAGCGCAAAGAGACACTCCTGGCTTTAGCTCCAAACTTATATGCTATCCTTTCAAAAGACAAAAGTCACTGTTAGTGGAGATAACAGTGCTTTATTATTAGGCTAGAACTGGTGTGATATAGCCTGGGTTTGCATTATGTACCAAAAACACTTTTGTACATGAGATGACAATTGTCGAGGTTATGGCCGAGGCATTAAGTGAAGGTCCGAGGGTACACGAGTTCAACACCGTCGAGTTCCCTGGCCAACTTCTTCACGTATGCGAACAGACAGGCGTGGAAGGTGCTGATGGGGATCTGGTTGGCGCGCAGGCGCTCCCCCAGCAACTGTTCACACACCTCCAGGGCCTCGTCGACGCGTTGGCTCGAAACCAGTCGGTCCTAGAGAGAGAGAGAGAGAGGGAGAGGGCAGGACTTGACGGAAGTTGTGTGCGCTTTATTCAAGCAACCTAATGCTACAATTAACTCACCTAACTATTCTGTAAATATGTTTTTATTGAACTTGTGTTTTCAAACAACGCTCCGACTACCCCTTGCACTAGATAGTAACGTTTGTTTCCCATGGGTGATCAACCATTTTGTTTCATCCAGTCCGCTTTGGCGAAATGTTTAATTTAGAAATCACCCACCTAATGTGTATGTGTGCATGCAAAAGGCTTTTGTTACAGCAAGCACGGGCTTTGTTACATACCTCCTCTGTGCTCTGTTCGGCAGTGGCTTAAATTCGGTAATTTGAGGGTGATTAACATAATTACGAAAATGTTAGAGGTTTAATGAAATGACTTCGACGTCGAATTTAATTATCTCAAAGCAAGTACAACATCAGGACCATTGTGGCATAAAATCTGGTCTTTCATTAGGTGCAATTTGCTCACTCGTCAAATTGATTTGTAAAAAGACAATAAAAAGTTTAAAAATTCCAGATTAAATGGAGCCATTGGTAAAAGACGTGACGAATTTTGTACCCAAAGTTCAAGTACTTTTGCATAAGTGAGGCGCGTGTTTTACCACTTGTTACCACACGTCAATCTTCCCAATTTACTGCCTGATTTTTCCTACCAACAAATTATTATTGACCTTGAGAAGAGAAAAAAAGCTTAATTTTATGTCTTATTCGTTGCACATGGCAAGATCAAGAAGAAAGGAGGCGATTTGCCGCACCATAAACTATGTGTTCCATAAGCTTATTCGTAAATATTAGCACTAAACCATTTACAAGCGGTCTTGCTTTGAAGAAAACGAGAGCTATAGATGCTTTGCTCAACTGCCACCAAAAGGTTTTCAAAGCTGCCAGCAGAGGTACTTTTATAAAAAAAAATTGACATCTTTCAGCTACGCATACTTTAAACGCTTAACGATGAAGGAATACAATCAAAGTGGTCAGACTAAGACAGGGCTTGGGACCATCTTATTTAAATAATGTAGTCAGATTAATTTGTCAGCTACTCTTCTATACAGAAAGGTTTGTCAGTACCTTATTTTTCAAAATCACTATTCTTTATTTACGCCAAATTCAGAGATAATTTTTCTACTAGTTACTAATCACATTTAGATGTAATTTTACCACTCGTGGTATTTTAAAGTGACCTCAGTTATATACTTTAAAAGTCAACTTCAGATTTGGTTCCATTTGTAAAGAGTAAAAATGCTTCCATGCTGCTGTTTTAGCTTTATAATCCGTGGGTTTGACCAAAGTGCCTACAGCAAATGCATCATTTCAAGCCTAGTCCATTGGTACACCTTTCTGGTCGTTTTATGTGGTGATTTAAAGAAACTGTTTTGTGGTATTACCAACTTGACAGTGTTAAAACACGTACAACGTTGATATTAATACGCATTAGACTTCAAAATTCATGACTCAAAAATTTCTGCAACAAGAAGAGATAAATAAACTGGTTTTGTCAAAATGGAACCACCTCGCTACCGCGTAAGCGGATACTTTTTGTCGTAGTAAAAAAAAGGTTCAAAATTGACATACCGAAAGGCGTTCGGGCAGAACGACGCCATGAACGGACGCCACAGTCAAAGCGATCGCCAAGACAACGCAACTGGTCAGCATTCTCGCGAGGCAGATGAATCGACGGCTAGAGTAGCGAAAGGACGAAATTGTGCTGAGAAAGCTGACAGGATTTGTCATTAACTTTAGTCAAAGCGAACTTTGTGACTTTTATAGTCCCTGGATTTGCTGCTGATTGGTCGCTGATTGTACACAAATATAGGACCTGCAAGCCCTCCATTTATCTGTCGATTTGAAGGCATTTAATTAGGACGGTTCTCTGTGACGAGTTCCATTAGTCAATTTGTTGTCTGTTATACCCTGCCTCGATGACAAGAAATGTGTGGAAAAATTTGGTCAACTCTAGAATAATTGAAAATTATTTAACCACAATGAATGTTTGCATTTGAGAATGGAATTTAACAGATTTGCATGCATACTTGTACTCTTGAAAATTAGCGGACACATTAAAACGGACATTTAAATAACAGATTCCGTGTCTAAGAAACATAAAATATAGTAATTCAAAAATACATGTAATATCCTAGTTGTACATTTTAGGTAGGTAGATTGCAACCTTGGCCATCGCACTTCCCCAAGCTTGCATTGGGCTAGTAGTTACACCTTATTTCAAATTTTAAGACTAAATCTATCAAAATGCTACCACTTGGGAATAATGTTTTGCGTTGTTCACTTACTCTTGGTTAAGTCAAAAAACGTGTGTGTGTGTGTAAGTCAAGGCAAACTAAGCAGCGATTAATGTATCATAATATTTGGCAAATATATGCAAACGCAAAGAGATGTGTTCTTTATGCATTAGTCTATACAGGTAACTAGGGCACCATGAACTAGAAAATTAACTTCCAGTCTATTTATTTAAGGAATTGTTGGGGATCCACGGTTCCCCAAGATTGGTTTTTGATTCTATTTACATTAATTTATTAGCATTTGTCTTGCTACGCTTTTTATCAAGTCAAGGTCAACCCTGACTTGAATTAGTTTCGTTTTCACTTTCGATACTTGACTTCTCCGCACGTGGCTGACGTGAATAAAGCTCTCTACTCGAGCTCTGGTCTTATTCTTGTATTAGCCTGGGAAGGTCGGTTCTAGCTTCAGCCAGAGATCTGGTATCGTTATTTGAGTGGTCTTCTCCTTTGTTACGGGCGAACGTGACACACATAACCCCAAAAAGCTGCCAAGAATGGTGCATTGAATCAACAGAAGTGGGCTCTGAAGCATCAGCAGCCAAAACACCGCACTTACAAACAACTTTTGTTACGGGCAAACGTAACAGGATTGTTCTGCAGTACTCACAAGTGTTATAAGTTCAGCCCTAAGGCTTTCACTGACCAAACACATGCAGTTGGAACCATACGGCCAAAGGAGAAAACTCGCAGTAGGTATTACTGTGTAAACGCACCACGAACTTGGGCTGAGGCTCCATGTGACGCTTCGAGGACTTGTTCTCCTCCTGATTTGTTTCCAATATCAAGCTGTTTAATCCTGGTTACCAAGGCTGCACAGAGAACATTGAATGCTTCAGGTGCCCGAATAGGGAACAGGTAGTTAGCATTTTGTCTTGCAACAGCTGTTAAAAGCTGTACAAAGTGCATTTGCAATAGGTTAGACGTCAGCTTCGCGTAGCATTTTTTTGATTCCCGAATGTAGCGAATTTTAGCAAATGATGCCTGCTTAATTGGGTTTCTTGCTCAGTGCATCACACAGAACTTTGTATCCTGTTATACAACTGTTTACTTGCTCTAAAAAATGAACATATTTTAAACGAGGAACAAGGTTGGTATCGGTTCAGTTGTAGTGCTACTTTAATTGCATCAAAATGATCCAAGGATGATTTTTGTAAGGGATGGTTTTAGCTTATTTCTTGCCTGACATCCTCATTAAATTGCCAAAAAAGGCGCAGATTTCAAAATGATGCACAGTAGTGGAAATCCGGTGAAGTGTTTCACCTTAAGCCATTTTTTAAATTACACTGAGTCTCAGTTTATAAATTAAATGCAATAAAATCAGTCAGTTGAGCAAATTAATATGAGTACTGTTAAAAAATTTAAACTTAATGACTCTGTAGTCTAATAAGTGTAATTATGGCATATTACGACTCAGAAGGCTGTCATTATTTCAGAATAACTGGTTGCTGGTTTTTACATCCGCAAATTTATGGAGGTAAAAAAGTAATTAGACATTAAACCAATGATCAAAAAAGGAATGTCTTCTAATTTCCTTACAACATTCAGTTGAGTAGAGAATGCATCCTTTTGCTTGAAAAAAAAAATAGTGTACTCCACTGAATTGAAGTGTGCTGGATGAAATTCATCTGGGAAAAGTACGAGGCTGTAGTTGGACCAGCCCACATATTTTGCTTCATTTGGCGTGATTACTGACAGCATGTCATTATCATTATAAATTCTTTTTAACGTGGATGCCTTTCTTATCACCACATTGCGAAGCCTGTGAAGTTTGTTGAAATGGAACACGCTCTTTCCAGGGAAAATATTAGCTTTCTCAAAGGCATTGTCAGTGACGTTTAGCCATCGCCGTAGTAATTTGCCCGAGTCAGCTGGTTTTGCGTAAACTTCTGTTGCATAATTTTTAAAATTTTGAGCGAAATCAACTGAAAGTGGCTGCAGCAACATAGCATTCAATAGAGCTTTTTGATCAGTACGCCAGAATCGAAGTGAAAATTACTACAGCCTTTGTTAAAAGTATTTAAATCTGAGCGTGTATGACAGGATACAGAACGAGATGTTTAGAGGGCCAAATTTCGGTGTCTTGTGCACAAGGATGAAACGAAAGATGTGCTGTATTTCTAAGACGGTATTACAAAGTTGCGAATTCTGCTCAACTATCACGGAAACGCCTATGTAGGCTTCGAAATGAAAAAAATCCTTCAACCTTCTTGGGGATATGAGACCATTCAGCATCCAGGTGTGACCTCTATGTGAGGGCCATGGTTCGAACTTTGCCCCTGGTCATGAGATTTGCTGATGTTTGCTACGCGTTTGCTTTCATTCTGCACAGTTACCTAAAGGGTAACTTGAAGCTCACTGTTAGAAGTATTCAATTTGGGTTTATTAAACATCAACATCCTGAAGGATTTTGCTGGATGAAGGAGGACCTTCTATGGCAAAAACTGTGCATTGCCATGAATCCACCTTTCAATTACTTTGTTTATAATCGAAGCGTAGAAAAATGTATACGCCTACCATACTGTGGGAAAATTACTTTAACCGCGACGAAATAAGATATTTCAAGAGACACCTTTGAGCAACCCCCGCATTTCTGAAACACTTTATTGTAATATGCTTTAACTGACTCCTTTTGTTACTCTTAGATAATTAAATTATATAATACAAGCGTTAAAAAGCTCCTACGTGCATTATTTTTCTGTGATTTGCGTTGGGTTTTGAAAAAAAGCAACTTAGTTTATGGAAAATTATTATTAAATGGCGTTTTTTAATAAAATCTTCTCCCAGTTTTCAAAATAAACAGACTGTGAGTTGAATTTGGGCACAATGTACACCAAAGGTGTGTAAACAGGAAAACACATGCGTTCTAAAAGCGAATAATTCCCATTGCTCAATAACATTTACTAAACTCCAAAAGGTAGAACACTTCGCAAAATCGTTGGATAAAATGGTGTTATTATTACTCCGGCATTGCCATTTGATGGAGAATTAAGAATTTTCCACAACATTACGTCTCGTTTTTGAGATTTTGCGGGTTTCACCACCTTGACTGTCGCAATATCTCCAAGACCATCCACTGGCAGCCCCATCAGTTTGTACCTCTCTTGATCCCTTTCCATTGCGAACATGTTACGTTGTCTTGGACTGAGAGCAAAGCCCTCCCAAGAGCTCACATCGTCTCCTGGCACTGAAAAGGCTAAGCGTGCGTTGGACAAAAAAGTAGTAAATTGAATCTCAAACCTTTTTTTGGTTATAGACTACTACTAAGTTTTGAAAGGAAACATAAAGAGTGCAATTCATATTTTTGTAACCATGTGCAGCAGTAATTTTCACTGTTGACGATAGAAGTTAGAGTGTTACGCATTTGACGTTGGTGATTGTCGAGATCACACCGACGCCATGCCCTAATCCTATTCATCCACATTTCTGCAATTAAACAGAAAGCAAATGAAGTTCTGGGAAGTTAAAATATTCATTATAAAATAAATTCACATGAGACATCCTCATCCACCATTATTCCCACCCACGCAAAGAAACACGCCGTACCATTTATCAGAATTGGTCGGTATCACGGATACAAAGGGTTAATTAAGTCTGCCCCCCTTACATGAAAGGGATGATGGTGTTACCGCAGTGCTAAATTACAGCTCTCGGTGGTGATAAATGGATCCAGATGTCCAAAGTGCAGTCATCGGACATTCCAATGCCAAGAGGCGCTTTGTTTTACCAACTAATTTCCTTGCGTTACCTTCCCGTTATGCCAACTCATGATTTATTTACTTCGGACACAAAGTTGATGGTCTCGGTGTTCGGCACGATCTCCGCCGCCGTCCCCTCTCAGCCATTAAGACCAAACTTCTGGCCCGACTGGCTCAACTGTCGCGGCCGATCTTCAGACAACCACGTTCAATCTCGCTGTGATTTCGTTTCGTGACTGAGTTAAATTGGGTAAATTGAGCAACGTTCAGCGATTCCGCATTCCATATTACTTATTCACACTAGCAACCCAGATGATTCATTAAAAAAACTGAAATCTGCTTTCTAAGTGTTTTAACACGTGAATACACAAAAGGTGATTTGTTTTTGACTAGCATAAACAGAACCATGCAAGAGGCGATGGGGTTAATTCCGTCAAACACTTTTGACTTGACATTTTGCACGCAGTCAGTTAATTTTATTATTTTTGTAAGTTATGTTTTCTGCATTAAGATAATTTATTAATACGGGTACATTTCTAAACCTTCGCTGACAAAGTTAAAACATCTTATTGAAGTTTCATCCCCCCAAAAGTACAAGCCGCCCTGTTGTGCAAATGTCAAAACATTTAATGGTGCAATTACTCTGCAATATCTCTGGGCAGCAGTAACTGACGCTCTGCTCGCATCAACCTTGCATACTTCAACTCCTCTTATAAGCTGCCGCATTTGCTAATACAAC